AGCAGATTGAGAACATCTACAGAAGATAGACTGAGCAAGTGCTGCCCTGCTACACATCTACTTTCTTCCCCAATCATTAAACACAGGGCAAAATGTGCTAATTCAGTTAAAAAATCAGCTAGAGGCCTGGACTGGTGTGGGAGACAGGCTTGAGTCTAGGGTGATATTGCAACTGTCAGGGTCTAGGAATCCTGGCTCTGTAATCTGAAACCCAGTATGCTAATGAGGCATCCTACCCTCTATTCTGTGATAGGACATTAAGTCTGTTATGCTAATAAGGTATCCTACTTGCTATGCTGTGATTGGACCACTACCCCTATACAAGGTTGTGCCTTCCTGCAATAAAGCAGACCTGAGCTATATTGCGAGCCACCTGATGTGCTGAACCTGGTCTCCTGTGTCTGAATGTGGCTCCGCTGACACAATCTCCTCACCAGCCCTGGGGTCCGGGACCGGGCAGAAGCAGTGATGACAGGAGGTAGCGCAGGGCTGTTGGAAACCTCTGTTATGCAAAGTAGAAGCCCCTTCACGACCGGACAGCTCATGCAGCTCGGGATTATGTGCTGCGGGCTCCTTTCATAGCAGGATGTCTTCCTGGCATCTTTCCTGTCTCTCCTTTTGAAGTGTCCGCCACAAATGCTATAACATAAACATGGCCTTTGGCTCTAACAGGTACCATGCCTTCCTGTAATTTTTCCTAGCAGACAGCAGTCTGGCAGAAACCCACTTCCATATGTAAATAGAATGTCTCACAGAATATCTAACAGCCAAAGCTTTTACCACTACCCCCATGGTATAAATGCCTTAGTAGAGAGCTAGGACACAGAGATTTGGGCTGCAGAGAATTGGGCTGCAGAGAATTGGGTTGCAGACAATAAAGCTGTAGCACAGACTAAGTCTTGAGTCTTGTGTCACTACCGGCGGCCCAATCTCTCCGGGGGGGGGTGCGCTCCCTCGTTACCGACTCGTGGACACCCTAGCTTTTGCTGTCCCCGTACTTCTTCCTGCGAGGTCCAAGTGGCCAGTGGACCTCGCATCCTGAGGAAAAGTACACGGGTAGAAAGGGACAGGATTCGGCAGAACAACGCTTCTGCAGCAGAGAAGCTCCAGAGACACGGGACCCAAGCCGCCAGGAAAAGCCTGCGGGGCATCCGCAGCCACGGCCAGAGACACCTGTGGCCAGACCCGCCAGCGACTAGCCAGGTGTGGCAGGGGCCCCGAGATCCAGGGGCCCAGAGCGATCCCGAGATATCCACGCACACCACGCCTGAGGCCCATAGAGACACGGAGAAGCCCGTAGGACCAGATCTGCTTTCCTCCAGACACACGACGGAGGAGTGCCATTCTGGAAGTGTGCCCAGAGAGAGCGCAGGCCCATACAGGGCAAGCAAAAGAGCTGCCTCAGCACGAGGCGAGCAGAAGAGTGGCCTCAGCCCAGGGCAGGCGGAAGAGCGGCCTCAGCCCACTGTGAGTGGAGGAGCAGCCTCGATGCCTGTGAGAACAAAGGAGCAGCACCCACGAGAACGGAGGAGCGGCCGCCACTGGCCGTGACTGCAGACTGGGTTTCAGGTCCATGGTTTAGCATGAATGGAGACCAGGCCAGAAATTCTCTAAGAAATTAGGAGAGGATTGACCTGGAGGCTGAGGGAATACCAGGGCTTGCAGTTGTCTGTGCCATGGCTCCTCTCCTCTTCTTCCTCCTCCCCCATCTGCCCCTCCCCTGACACACCACTTCTGGGTCATCTGTGTTCTTTGGGACTGACAAATCAGGTCTAAGCCACAGGGTGGTCCTGTGGGACCCACAATCCATTATTGCTATGCAGGCCAGGAGCAGCATTAGGGCATGTCCATAGTGGACACCAAGGTTTAGATTCTCCACAAGTACCTATGAAGTGAACATCACCCATTTCAAGTATCTGCTCAAGCAGGTCCTGGACACCAGTGTGTGCTGTGGCCTCTCGCCATGCCTGCCAACTCCAAAGGCAAGTTTCAAATTAGCTCCCATGCACAAGGAAAAGAAAACTGGTGCCTTGACAACCTCTGGGGGAGCCACAGACACCAAGGGAACAGGCCCCAAGGAATCCAAGGAGCTGAAGAAAGACCAGGCCGGCGAGGCCGCAGTGTAGAGTGTGGCTCTGAACCCAAGACAGGGATGCAATTCTTGTCCCCACTCAGGAGCCACCCCGGAGAAGGCCTCTAAGAAACCAGCAAGGCAAAACTGGGAGAGGCTAGGAAGGCACCCCTTAAAACCAGAGCAGGCCACATAAGGGGCTTCCCAGTGCCAAGGGGCTAGGCTAGAAGTCAAAGTCAAAAACAGTGGGATCAGGCAGTGAGCAGAAGAGTCCTACAGGAAAACCAAAGCTGTGGTGAGAAATCAAAGCCCATAGGCAGCAAGATCCAGAACGGTGTTGCTTTTCCCACTAAAAGGAAGCTGGCAGCCAGGGCCCCAATTGAGACAGCTGTTCCAGGGGCTGTGATGGGGACCAAGACCAAAGTACCTACTCTTCCCCAGGGGGTGAGACCCAAGGCACAGCTCACACATGGGGAAAGGAAGATAGTGACCCCTGAGAACCCTGAAAGGCTTGGGTTACCCTCCTCATCCAGGCTCCTAGCAGGAGGACAGAGGCTAGGAGCTAGGGGCTAAGGTGGGGAAGATGGTGACTCTGAGCTTTTATTTTCTAACAAACTGGAACTCTAATTGCATCTTATGTATCAGTAAAGATTTCTCTTTCCGTTTCTTCACAACAAAGAAAGAAAAAGAAAATAAGAGAGATTTGGAAAATAGAGGGTGTTGAATCTGAGTGAACCAAGGTGTGAACATTGGTGAGAGTTCTGTGGTTGTAGGCAAGAATCGAAGCAAGGCCAAGTGTCTGGAGCTGGGAAACACGACCAAGCAAAACCAAACCAGAAGGTGGAAACTATTGCCTTGAATGCCAGCTAGCATCCTAGTAAGTCACTCTATGACTTAGCACTGATGGGCACATAATGAGCATCCTGATCTGGGAGTTCCAATAGCGATGCAGCCAAGCACCTTGTAAGGCAAGTGTCACAGCCATGACAAAAGTGCCCAGTAGGTCCTGCAAGTACTGACGAGGCTGTGATACTATGTCCATACAACTACCAAAGAATCAATTGTTCATCTTTCCTTGTCTTGGGAAGAGAGAGAGGTTCAGAGGTCTTCTGAATGACCACCATTGTGGTCACCATTCAAAATTCAATCATTCTTATCGATATAAGCTGGAGAAACAATGATTATCATCATGAATGTCTGCATCAGAGAGATACAAGACAGCTGTGTGTCAATAGCAAAACAGGTCTATGATCAGGGTCATTGAGTGACTTTGCTATAGGATCCTGGTACAATAGGAAAATAGACCATTCCCTACCAAATGGGATTGTAGATTCTATAGAATGCAGGGAGATGCCACAGAGAATGTCAAAAGCCAGGAGCAAGTCAGTGCCAATAGTGGGTGACCAAAGAAGAGGACTGGAGACACAGGTCTGCTGATATGTGAAGTTAGGCAAAGAGCTGAGGGAAGAAACCCAGTCAGAGGGGATAGGGAGATGGCTCAGTGGGTAAAGTGCTTGCTGGGTAAGCATAAAGAATGGAGCTTGGGGGGCTGGAGAGATGGCTCAGCGGTTAAGAGCACTGACTGCTCTTGCAGAGGACCTGGGTTCAATTCCCAGCACCCACATGGTGGCTACGAACCGTCCTTAGCTCCAGTTCCAGGGGAGTCCGAAGCCCTCTTCTGACCTCCATGGCATTGCGCGACACTGGTGCACTCATATACATGCAGGCAATGTACTCATACACATAAGGTGGGAATAATAAATACAATATCTAATAATAATAAAAAGAATGGAGCTTGGATCTCCAGACCCCGTGTAAAGCTGGATGTAGTAATGCATGTCTGTAATCTCAGTGTTTCTGCAGCAAGATGGAAGGCAGAGACAGGAAAGTCCCCAGATGCTCAAAGGTTGCCTAGCCCAGTGTACACAGTGGCTAACAACAGACTCTGCCAGAAACAAGGTGGAAGGCAAAGACTGACAGCTGAGGTTGTCCCCTGACTTCACACATATACCATAGCACATGCATACTTGCACTTCCACATATGAACACACACACACACACACACACACACACACACACACGTCAAAAAACAAACCTCAAGTTGCAGGAATCTAGAAACAAGCAAAGATGATAGCAATTAGTGGTATGATGGACAACTATCCAATATACTGGAAGTTAGGAGCTGCCTAAAGGGGTGGTTACCACTGAGAATCATCAGCTCCCAGGGGTTCTAACTAGTGACTAGAGAAACATACAAGTCTAGCACCTCCTAGGAAGGTGGAAAGAGCATTCCTGAACAAGGGCCAGGCAGCCACCTGCAAAGGGAAGTCCAGGCCATGGAAGACGAATTAAGCTCCTCGTGTCCTAGTACATACAGGGTACAAAAGAACGACCCTTTCCAGGCACAGGTGCCCGAGCTACCGCCCCCATGAGTTGCTGCCTCTACAGCTCCTCCACCTGCTCCACCCCTCCTGGATATGCCAGGCAGCTCCACATTCTTTCCCAATATCTGGGCAGTGCTTTTGAGATGAAAAAGGAAGTGGGCACAGTAGGTCCGGGCTTTTGAGATACGCAGATGTGAGCTGGTTTTGCAATCATTGTAGGTCGTTGTGCAACATACTGGGCTCTGGACCTCAGATTCCTGGATGTCTCTGACACCCAGACGTCAGGGATGCCTCTTCACTCTCAGGACTGCAGAGAAGGTACAGAGGCAACCATGGGCTCAGGGTGCTCTGTGAACTATAAGGTGACAGGTGTAGATGGTGAGAGGTGTCAGGTGTATCAGTGGCAGGTTTCCAAGGTGCGGGTAGGCTAAGAGGGAGTGAGTCAACAGGAAGAAAATTGTTTTCTTTTTCTTCTCGAAGGGAGTACTCAGAAGACCAACACTGGGCGGCTCCAATTTCTGGGCAGGCATAAATAGTGGGTACCTGCCAAACAGTCACATTTCCCTGGAGCTCCTGGGTCCTAGAGGAAGAAATCTGTGAGTGTTTCTGCCTCTGCCTCTCAATTAATTTCCCCATGTTCTGTGAAAGTCTCTGCCTATCTGGGCTGTTTATCCTACCTGCATTGAAGAAAGCAGGGTTTATGTTCTGGGTCTAGGTTCTGTCTCAGGGGTTGTGGATGTGAGAGGTGGAGGGCACAGTGGGGATTCAAGATGCTCTTCTGTCCCTAGCTCACCTTCTTTGGCTCTTTGGTGGGAGATCTGCTTTCTGATCTGGCATAGAGTAGATCAATGTGATGTGATGCTCTCTCAGACCTCCAGTGCTCTATGGAAAAGTCATCTGGAAAAATGCAATTCCAATTTTTGTTTTGGCTCTTTCTCTGTCCCTAATTTCTTCAGAAAGAAAGGTAGTGGAGGGAAAACTGGCTAGGTATTCTCAGGCCAGGGTTTTAAACCCACACTGGTGCTAATAATCCAGAAGTGTGGACAAATCTATTTTCTTAGCCTCAAGTCTTTACTGAAATATCTACTCACTGCATGAGGTCTCTGACTTGTCAACCGATGGGAAGAACCACTTTTCTCAATGAACTGTCACTATGAAAGTACAGTGTGACCTGAGTGCTGCATGAGCTGGGGCTGTGGCTCTGCACACTCCATCCACTGCCCAGCTAGGCTGCCTTGCCTGTCTCAGGTCTGGAAGCCTGTGAGTCTGCTCTCTGTAGGCCTCTTTCATGTTTAGGTGAATGGGTGGTGGAGCAGGATGCCTACTGTCTTGACTCTTCCCCAGAATGAGGCAGAGGGCCCTTAAGTTGAGACTGCCTTTGCTCTGCCCACCGTCTGGGCACCAGTCCTCATGATAGACTCTCTGCCAAAACAAGGGTTAATGGAGTGGCTATTTTGGGTCTATGGGCCCTCCAGCGTGTTTCTAGAGAACCCCAAGAGACCCGAGGACGTTGTGACTAAAAATGGAAAAAAATTAGTAGAAAATGAGACTCTCCCACAGCCCAGAATCACCAGCAGGTGGAGAAACAGGCACATCTCTGGCCAGGAGCCCTAGTAAGCATGCACCCCAGTGAGCCTGGTGAACCCCTTCATCTTTGCAAGCCCCCTATGGCCTTGTTCCCAGCCACTGTACCTCCCATTGGCTCTTTCTACTCTCAGATTTGTAGTTTCCCTCTTCAAAAGGAAAGATGCTGCTGGAGTTTGGATCATAAACGTTTCCCAGTGTCCCACAGGTGGAAGACATGGCTGTCAGCTTTGTGGCACTATTGGGAAATGGTGGCAGTGTTGAGAAGTTAAGCCCTTGGGAAGCTGCCATAGATGCCCTGTGCAGGGAGTGACCCACGTTTTGTACCCTAAGGCAGGGTCTCAGCTGCTAAGTCTCTCTCAGATGCTAAACTGGGTGCTTTGCTAGATAATTTCTTTTGTTTCCTCCCCAAACCAGCCTTCTAGCTGAATAAGGCCACCTTGTGTGGTCTCTCTCCCCCAAGGCTTCTCTCCTCTAAGCTCTCTCAGATTGCCTTCTAGACCTCTGGATCTCTCCAGCTGCTTAGCATCTCTGAAACCCTTTACCTATGTTCCTTCTGGGATCTTCCTCATGGGCTTGGTGCCTGGTTCAGAAATGCCAAATGGCTTAGCAAGCATGCCACACTCCAGCCTGAGCTAGCACAGGCACCTTGAAGCACTCGGGCCCAGGCTCATTTACAGGCCAGCATTATGAGCTGGCAGTGCCTTTGGATTCCAGGCAACAAGTGAAAGAAAGCAGATCTGCTTAATCTGAGCTGAGCCTGCTGCCCTAGAGCCACAGATAAAGAGAAGGAAGTCCAGGGAGGAGAAGGGCCCTCGGTGAGGAACACTACACTTAGCCGTTGTTCTCATGGGGCACCTGAGGAGAGAGGGACACTATTGTCAACCCTTGTGAGAGTGCTGATCAGGTAACTCATGCCCTCAACAGCCAGACCATTAGTACCCCTCCCTAAGCTGCTTTTGTAGTCTTGCAGCTCCGGACTCCAAGCAGAGAGGAAGATGTGGGGTGGAGATTTCTCTGATCTCCAGGAGTTGAGCCACCACCTAAACATCGTAGAACCAACACTGCCTCTTTTCCCTTTCTCATCTCTGCAGGTCATGTTGCATCTCCTCTCCATGTTAGCCCTGTTCGCACTGCCCCTGGGGATCCTGGGAGCAGAGATGAAGACTCTCTCACGGAGATCAGTAGCCAACGCCTGCACCCTAGTCATATGTAGCCCTGTGGAGAATGGCCTGCCTGGTCGTGATGGACGGGATGGGAGAGAGGGTCCCCGGGGCGAGAAGGGTGATCGAGGTACAGCTGGGATCAGGGGCTCTTGCTGGTGGGAGGGGTGAGTGTTGGGATGAGAACCAACCTTACACCTTTGGATGCTCTGTGAGAGACTAGGGCATGGGCTTCTTTCTCCCAGGGGGTGAGTTTCCTATGACGTCCATTCCACTGAAGATGATGCTTTCCCACCTGCCAAGCACATGTATGTCTTGGCCCACAATGAGCTTCTTCCCATCACTCAGCATGTCTGGCACTTCCCTTGGGATCCATAGATTCTCCTAACCCCTAAGAAGAATGGGTTAAATGACTGTTCTAGCACTTAACAGTTGTTCGTTTTGATTAAATGGTGCCCATGCAGGATGTTAACATTTTTTTCTTTTTTAAAAAATATTTTTATTATTTTTTTAGAAGAAGCATATCATTACAGCTTTAACATACTCAATAACAGTTTACAGAGCAAAGAATATCTTTCAAAAGTGGCTCTAAGATTTTTAGGTTCGCTGTTGAATAAATACAGTTATACAATATTGAACTCAGTATAGGTCCTGTAAGACATAAAATTGAATGAGTTTTTAACCTTTAAAAAAGATCTCCATTTCATTTTAAAATATATGTTTCTTACGGAAAGACTCATTGCTACTCATGCTACTAACACTGAGATGTTGGCACATGCATCTCTAATCTGTATTATGTGATTATTACTAGTCATAATCAGTTTCACTCAGATCCTTGCCACCTGTGTATGTCTATAAAGTCATCAGGTAGATTTCAATGGTAATGTTTATTACCTCTACTAATTAACGTGATGTAAATTTTTATGCTTTCTCCTAAAATATAATTCATTTTTTTAATTTGTTGATTTTTTTGTGTGTATACACCACACAGAACATCCCAAACCATCTTATTCAACTATACACCCACTTCCCAGATGGCATCCTTCCATAGCCTAGAGCCCTTATACTCTGTTATCCCTGCTACTGTCCACCGTGTTGTCGACACCCCAGCTGTTCCCCACTACTTGTCCATCTGGTGAATCTAGTCAGCCTATCTAGAGGTCTTTGTTTTAGGAAGGTCAGCAGTTCCTCATCTAGCAGCAATCAGTTGTCAGTATTCCTTTAGATAAGATTGGGGTCTGCTGTTCATTTTCCCAGTTTATGCTGGGTTACTGTCTGGGAGTCCCTTGGGCCACCCTGGCTAACAACTCAAAAGAAGGTATCTCCTAGCTAGCATTATTGCTTGTTATGTAGCCTTTAGCTCTGCATATGGACTCTTAAAAAATTATATCGGCCCCTTTAATCTTTGGTTATACTTTCCTTTTGGGTGTTTAAGGCCATACAGTTGGCCCAGATAAACCAGTTTATTTTTACTCTTAAGGTCATTTAAGGATCTGTTCCTAGGGGTCACATGGGCTTGGGAGTCAAATGTCCTACTTGACCATGGCTGGCTTCACTTGGAAGCATGGAGGAAATGATTCCTCTGTGTTGACCCTCCTCTTTGTAGACTGAACACTGGTTCAAGTCCATCTCGTGGGGTCTCCTTGGCCTCCTTGATCAAGAGGACAGGTGACCCACCGCAATTACAGGACATTTTGAGAGATGCTCATAGTCCCCTGGAACTAGTGGACCTAGGAGGGAAAGGAGCAAAACTGTCCTTTATGTCCCTCTGAACAAATTAGCATAGGCCTCAAAGTGTGTCTGTTAAACATCCAAGAATGTTAGTTCTACTAGTCTGGTACTTTTAATTACTGTGTGTCATGTAGATAAATCTTGGGCAAAGACCAATTGTTCTCAGATAAGCCTTACCTAGACATATATTTCTTGATCTGCTATGTATAATTTGTCAGTAGGTTATTGGACTAAAATGGTTCCCTCTTGTTTTTAAAACTAGCTAGGCATTATTTATCTCTCGCATTGTCTCACCCCTCCATCATGGTTTTCCCACTTAAGGTGCCCCCATTTCCCCCCTTTCTCCCTTAATAATACCCTTCTCCTATGATCCTACCTCTCTTGAGCTCCTTCTTTCCCTTTATCCCCTGGGTTCCCTGTACATCCTTCCCTCCCCTCCCTTCATTTTTTCATATTTAAACTCTACTGTATGAATAGTGGGAAAAATGAGGCCCCAAAGTCCCATAAACAGACCCAATCAACAGGATTTACCTTTAAAAAATTACAAGGGGATGGAGCTCATGTTTCTTTGTATAGCCCTGTGCTTGGGTATTTACTTAAGAATCCATTTACTCCTTCCAAAAGCCACAGGAACATACCAATCTCATTTGACACATAAGCGAGGGGAAATAACCATTCCAGAATTTGAAATAACATAGGTTTCGGCATCAAACAGATCTGAACTTGACTGTCAGCTCTGTGGCTATGAGAAGACAACCTTCTCAGTGTCATACCACCTCAGTTTGCTTCTTCCAAATGTGGATAATACCTGTCAAGTAATATTTGACAGATGATTGAACCATTTTATTTTTATTGGGTCTTGAGGATAAAGTTCTATCTTCCTGGGACCAAGTTGGTGAATTATCCTGAGGTTACTAGAGGTACTAATAAACAAAGAATTTACCCTGAAACTATTGCCCCTGTTGAGTCTTATTGGTAAGAAGGGGAAACTCAAAAACACATCAGTACAAGCAAAGAGACTGCTGCCCCGGGGCTGAGGCTTTGATGGAATCAAATACTGTGTATCTTGCTGGAGTTTTCATTTCAATTGGAAGGAAGCTAATGACACTTAAGACAGAAAGAATAAGTAGCATCCTTAGGCTGCATGGGGTGAGGGGCGAGTGGATATATGCTCCTTATAAGATATAACATGTCTACCAGTGTGAAGGGGCTAGGGCTTGGACAGCAGCCAGGATGATCAAAAGAGGACTAGGACTCAGTACAGGCTCTCTCTCTCAGAGGTCCCCATTTCTCCACAGGGAGCTGTGGATTGGGTATTGGGGGATGCGTTCCCACAGTGGCCCTTGAACTGTCCTTATCTCTGCTTTGGGTTGACCTTGGGCAGAGGACAGCACACATTGGGATAGGGAATAAGGCTTGTCTTTGGCTCCTCTGACCCAGTTACTTTAGTCACTGGTCCATTATGGATCTGAGAATGTCCTGGGGAGCTTGGAGTTCCCTCACCATCCTGACTCAAGCACCTTGGTGTGTGACCAAAATCTGACCTTGTGACACCCTCTTCGGCAGATTTTGAAGCCTGTGGTCCCAAGAATTGAAAAGGACAGTTGGGACCTGAGAGGAGACTCTTGAACTGAGGTGGGTGGGGCTGGGGTCATTGTAGTGAGGTGCCAGGTAAACTGTGGCGAGCATAGAAGGCCCAGACCAGCCTTTGGAGGGTAAGACCCTTATTACTTAGCACCTCCAGCATTTCTGCTCAGAAAGATTCAGTGAGAATCCTTGCTGAGGTGCTGATTTCCCTCTGAGTAATGCTACAGGTTTCACAGCACCCCACAGGTCCACACAACTGCCCACCACCCACGCTGGCTCCATGCTGGTCCTTAACCCTCCCTCCGTCTTTCCCTGGGCCCTGCCATTTGCTCTTTGTCTCTGGCTCTTTACCTCCATCATAGTTTTTCTCACAGGTTGTCTTTCCAGAGAGGGGTTCTTCAGCCATCTTCCTGGCCATGGTGGGGTCCAAGAGAGGCTCTACCTCATCATGGTGTCCTGTTGGATAGGTGATGTAGAGCCATCACTTAGCCCTCTATGCTGACATTTAATACCTAGGAGGGACTATAACCACAAGTCCAGAAGTCCAGCACAGATCCTCCAGAAAATTCAGATACCCTCTCCCAAAATTGTTCATACCTTCAAAAAAAAAAAAAAAAAAAACCAAAAACTGTATTTTTCATACCCTCAAAAAAAAAAAAAAAAAAGAACCCAAAAACTGGTTTCTGCTGTCACATGAGCAACTTTCAAACTTGAGATTTTTGTCTCTCTTCTTTCTAAAATGATCTACAGAGAATTTTTTCTTCATTCCCTCCTGATCTTGTTTTCTACTTCAGGAAGACAGCTGTGAGGATGTGGTGTGCTGGGCAGGGGCTCTGTGAGGAGAGAAACGTCTCATACATCACCTTCCTTACCTGTTACCCTTGTCACATAGTTTGTTATGAACTCTTACAGACCACACATGCTTACAGTGTACACTAGGCAAATCCATCCTCCTTTTATCGACTCTGCCCCACACAACCTTCCCAACTATTCTAACTAATCATTATTCTATGTTCAGATTGGCTTTTTAAAAAGCTTCCACCTGTGAAAAGAACATTAACTATTTGTCTTTCTGATCCGGCTTTCACTTAATATGATGTTCTCCAGTTCTGCCAATTTTCCTACAAATGACAGGATTTTATTCTCTTTATGCCTAAGTAATACTTCACTGTGGACACACACCACCTTTTCTTTATCTGTTCATCCACTGATAGGCACCTAGGCTGATGGCATAGCTTAGCTATTGTGAATGGTACTTTAACAAATATGGTGTTTGGGATCTCTTTCTGTTCCTTCGGCTGTACTCCCAGAAGTGGCCTAGTAAGAATGTATGGTAGTTACCGTTCTTTTTTATTTATTTTATTTTATGTGGATGAGTGTTTTGTCTGCATGTATGTAAGTGCACCTGTGTTGTGCAATGTTTGTGGAGGTTAGAAGAGGGGGTCAGATTCCCTGGAACTGGAACTGTAGACAGTTGTCAGCTGCCATGTAAGTGCTGGGATTTGAACTCAAGTCTTCTTGAAGAGCACTCTTAACCTGAGCCATCTCTTCAGCTGCAGTAGTTACATTTCCAGTCTTTTTTTTTTTTTTTTTTTTTTTAGAAACCTCAGTGCTGTTTCCATGGCAACTGCACTAATGCACATTCCTATAGTAAGGCTCTTTTTCCTCCACATCCTCACCGGCATTTATTTCTGTGTGTATTTGTTTTATTTTATAATAGCCTTTCTAACTGAAGGGATAAAATGGAATCTCACTGTAGCTTTGATTTGCATTTTTCCGATGACTAATGATATTGAACATTTCTTCATATATTTGTTGACATTTGCATTTCTTCTTTTAATGAGGCTGTTCTGGTCACTTGTCCTTTTGTTTTTTGTTTTTGATCTTTGAATTCCTCACATATTTTCTCCCATTCTGTAGGTTGTCTCTTCATTTGTTGATTATTTTGTTGCCTCTGCAAAAGATCTTTAGTTTGATAAAATCTTATTTGTCAAGTTTTTATTTGTGTTCTTCATGAATAAAAATAAATGAGCAAGTGGGTAAGATAACTTAATGGACAAGTAAGTATCTATGTGGTACTGTTTTTGATAAAAAAAAATAGTTGGTTCTCCTGAGGCACCCACACCCACACTCACTCACATGCACATACACATGGTTATCTACACACTTGTCCCATGGTCACTGATAAATGTGGACAGATTGCCTTCTGCTAACACAGTGGCCTTGGGGTGGGGAAGGAGCACTAACTACATAAGGGTCTTGAAGCTCTTGGCTTGACTCCACCTCCAGGTCTAGGAAGCCTGTTTCCCCAGTGTAGGACGGCTAACATCCATTTACTGGGTCACCACTGGACCAGGGTATGTGACTTCAGGATGCTCATGCTCTGTAGTTCCCTGTAGGAATGCCAGGGCCTTTACCCTGTGGGTATTGGCTCTTCCCAGTCTAGGACCAACTTTGTATCTTTTTCTTTCACTGCTACAGGTTTTCCAGGAGCTGTAGGGCTCTCAGGGATGCCTGGTCCACCTGGCCCTGTTGGGTCCAAAGGGGACAATGGCTCTGGTGGAGAACCCGGACCAAAAGGAGACGCTGGCCCAGGAGGTGAGCAATGGGTCACAGGTTTTGGATGGTGCCCCCAGATGGTGCTTTTGCTGTGAGGCTGTGCCTGTGGCAGGCACAGCACCTGTCCCAGGAAGCAGGAAGAAGAAGGTTTTACAGGAGGCACTGGGCTGTTGCAGGCTGCACTGCTGTAGGAAGATGCTGCTGCCTTTGGGACTTCTGCTCTTTCTTGTATCTTTCGTATTCCCATTGCCAAAGGGGTCTAGTATCACTGACTGGACTGGTCCTTTTCCCTAGGACCTCCAGGACTTCCAGGTGTGCCTGGTCCAGCTGGAAAAGAAGGTCCCACAGGAAAGCAGGGGAACATAGGACCCCAAGGCAAACCAGGCCCCAAAGGAGAGGCTGGGCCAAAAGGTAGGTGGACGAGAAGGAGAAGGAAGGACAGTGGAATCCCTTGGTATGCCCTGAGGTATGTTCGGACTGCCAGGAGGAGCCTAGAACACTGACACTGTGAAGGCCTGGGAACGCACACCCCTCTCATGTGTCCCTGCACCTACAGTATTTCCTTCCTGGTGGAACCCCAGGCATCAAGGAACAGTCTCTCCAGCTCTCTGTCTACTTGCTGAGATGCATAATGAACGTAATCTTAGGAGAATTTTTTCTTGTTTGTTTCTTTCTCAGGAGAAGTAGGTGCTCCGGGTATGCAGGGCTCTGCAGGGGCAAAAGGCCCTGCAGGCCCTAAGGGAGAGAGAGGCACCCCTGGTGAGCGAGGTGCCCCTGGGATAGCTGGAGCATCAGGTGAGTGAAGGATAGATATGGGGCTGGATCCAGTTCTATTGTGGCCACTGAGAGCTGCCTCAGTCCACCCAAAGGGTCAGAGCTGGTGGTGCTGGGCTGTGGAGGCAGTCTGTTTCTAAGGAGAGTGCATTTGGGGGCTCTAGGGACTGCTCATATGTAGGGGGAGCCAGTCCTAAGCCTAAGTCCTTCTCTATACAGGGAAGATTAGTTTTGGTGACAGGGACAGTTGTACATAGAGGAAGTTATTTGTCAGGTGATGAGGACAGTCATGTTCAGAGCTGGCTCATGACTGGGTTTCTGGAAGAGTCTGTATGTGGAAAGGGTGTATGGTTGGGCAATAAGGAAAGACTATGTACAAGGTAAAAATGCTGGAAATTGGGAGCAGAGCTCAACCAGTTCCTCTTGGATTCCAGGGCCTGCAGGAGCTGTGGGTCCACAGGGAGCTTCAGGATCCAGGGGGCCCCCAGGACTCAAGGGAGACAGAGGTGCTCCTGGAGACAGAGGAGCCAAAGGCGAAAGTGGGCTTCCAGGTAAGGTAGCGGCTTCAAGTCCTGGGAACCCCCACTAGGATATACCATTCTTCAGCTAGGGATGACCACCCCCGTTGATAGAGTGAATGGAATGTGGGTCAGCTGCTAGGCTCTAGCTTAATTGTCTCTCTAGGACATGTGGGAAAGAAAACCTGGGCGGTTTCTTCATCTGACCATGGGGAAAAAAGCTACCACCTTCCTGGTTCATAGAATAGCTTTGCACATCTGATAACCTAGTGGGTGGGAATTATATGAGGAATGTGTATTCATTCCAACTGTCACCCAAGAATGGGGACACCATTATGGTCCCAGAATCTTGAGTCAGAATGTCATCAGGTTTGATGTCAGTGGGGCTCAGGTCCTTGCTTAGGGACCTAAAGAAATCCCTGCACAGGGAGCTGGAAAAAGATGGCTCAGTGGTTAAGAGCACTTGCTGTCTTGAAGTGGACCTGGGTTCTGTTCCCATCACCCATATTGTGTGGCTCATAGCCATCAGAACTCCAGTTTCCGGGGATCCAGTGCCTTCTTCTCAACCTCCATGGACTCTGCACTCATATGGTGCATAGACAGACAACTGGCACTACACATAAATAAAAATAAAGTAAAATAAAAATTCTGCACAGGGTGGTTTACACCTGGAATTCCAGCACCAGAGAGGCCGAGGCAGGAAGATCACTGAGCTTGATGCCACCCTGAGTTTCATAATGAGACTCTGTTTCAGAAACAATAATAAATAAATAAATAAATAAATAAATAAATAAATAAATAAATAAATAAATATAAATGGACTGGGGAGATGGCTCAGTGGGTAAATTGCTTGCTACACAACAATGAAATCTAGAGTTCAGATCCCCAGTAACCATGTAAATGTTGGGTGGGCATGAAAGCCAACCTGTAATCCCAGCACGCCAGAGGCAGAGACAGGATCTCAGAACAAGCCGAGTAGCTGGGCTAGTTGAATGGGCAAACTCTGAGTTCTAGCGAAAGACCCTGCCTCAATACATAAGGTGAAGGGTGATGGAGGAAGATGCTCAGCGTCAGTCTCAGGCCTTTACACACAAGTGCACATGTGTGTGAATATGCATATACATATGCACCCCCACATACATAGGAAGAAAGATAAAAGGAAGAAAAGAAAGGAATGCCTGTATACAGCAGCCTGCCGTGTCGACAGATGTGTACTTGCAGGGAGTCAGCCCAGCTCCCCTCCTCTACCCATCCCTTCCCCCTGAGGTCCAGGCCTGAGCTCTTCCCAGGCTTGCAGGACAGTCTTCCCATGGCCATTTTGCTCCTTTCCCTCCTATGCAGACAGCACTGCTCTGAGGCAGCAGGTGGAGGCCTTAAAGGGACAGCTACAGCACCTTGAGGCTGCCTTCTCGCGCTACAAAAAAGGTGAGTTCCTGGATCCATACCCAACTTGGGCCCTAAACTGCTTCCAGGCCTTGGTTTGGGGTTGAGCTACAATTGCATATTTGACAGTTCTTAGTCCTGGATTTAGGAGGGGAATGAGCAGGGACTGGGGCTAGGGCTGGACTTGGGGTTTGAGCAGGGAGGCAGGTAAGGCTAGGGCTTAATTGATGCTTTAAGAGATGGAAGTAGACCCAAAGGGTGTAGAAGGATATGGCCCGTGTCACTGGGTTACCAGGATGGCAGAAGTATGACCAAAGCTACCAGGCTCCCATGAATCTTCCACCTCAGAAGGACCTGTGTCTTGGCTCAGTGCAATCCCATAAGTTTTCACTCCTGCTTTCCTGTGCTGGTACCTGTGACAGGCAAGAGACTCATCACAGTCTGTGTTCCTTACTTCTGTGGGGTGTTTGGGACTGTCCAGAGATGTGGCTATACAGCCCCAGGCAGCACAGAATCCAGGTGCCATTCTGAAGGCTGGGGGTGGGACTCTGGGGACAAGGCAGGTAGAGGGCTGACTTTAATAGAGACCACTAAGTATCTCTCCTTGACCTGCTCTTGGGTCAAGCAATAGAAATACTCCCTTTGGGATCTAGCCAGGACTGGACTCTGTCCATAGCACCTGATGTGTTTGGAGCAAAAATTCTTCACTAATTGTGGGGTCCTGGGCTGTCAGAGGCCTCCAGGAGCGCTCACATGTGTACTCTGTATCTTTTTGAATCTCCAGTTCTCCTGCTTATCTCTTACCTTTATGATATCAGTTTTGACTCCAGATCCTTCAGGGAAATCTCACTGTGCCAGAAATAGTTTAGTGAATGATTGCATCATAGATTGGGCTTGTTTGGATAAGGCAGAGATTGGCTCCTAAGTACCTAAATTCAGATAGAAGAGTTTAAGCATCTGTACATCTTCCATCCTCCACAGGCATGTTTGCATATGCATCCAGTCATTCATAGGCATACTGGTGCAAATGTAAAGAATACATACATATGCATCTGCCACATGTATGTACTCATATACCGCTCATTTCACATTCATCAGCATACTTGAGTTCACATTTCCAGATGAACTTTAAGTACCCCTGTGAGCTTTTGGATGGATATATGGGCATGCTCATGTAGCACACAGAAGCCCACGCAGGAACATAAATCTAGTGACTCCCTACGTGCCATCCTGAACAGGAAGAATCTTCTTTAAGCCCTTTTAAAAGATACTCAGAGGAAACCCAGTCAAGGTGTAGTCTGGACTCCAACCAGCCTCACAGGCCTAAGTTCAAGGACACAGCCCTCTCCAGAACCCTGAGGGTCCAGTATCCTTTGTGATTTCCATGAATGGGCACAGAAGCCACAGGGATGGGGTGCGCTGAATGAAAGATGTGTAGCAGTTTTTCCCTGATGGTAAGGATGTGACGCTTCTGTGATGTGATCTGTCACTTCAGAGACGAGGCAGTAGAAGGGGAAGTGACTGTCCTGCCCTCCCAGACAGTCATTGTTAAGGTGGGTCCTAATAGCTGATTTGATTCCTATCTGGGGCCTCTCTACCACTTACCCCATCCTCGACTCCTCTGAACACAAGCACCTCTCAGATGCAGTCATCCTCTCTCCAGCACTTCCAGAGCTGGATGGCTGAGGCCAACTTGAGACTTGACCCAAGTCTCAGATGCCCACTCTCACCTCTCCTGCTCCCTAATCCCATTGCATAGTACAGACCCTGGCTGACAGCCAGTGCTGCAACACACAGGTGACTGTAGGCTCACTACACTGTGTTTTCTATACTATCAAAAATAACTTTTCCCCGGGGAAAAGTTGTTCGGTTCTACGCAGTAATTGATAAGCCAGTTCTAATATATATCACGGCTAAAACAGAAAGAACATTAGGAGTTTTTTTGGTATGTGAATATCTGTGCACCCAAAGATTAATGTCAAATGTCTTCTACTGCTCTCCACCTTATTTTTTAATTATTATTTTATTATTTTTATGTATGCCTATGCATGATGTGTGTGATTGTGTGTATGCATGTGGAGGTCAGAGGACAACTTGGAGGAATTGGTTCTCGCCTTCCACCTTTATGTGGATTCTGGGGATCAAACTCAGGTCATCAGACTTGTGTAGCAAGCAGCAAATACCTTGACTGCCAAGCTATCTTGCCAGCCTGCCACCTTATGTATGTATGTATGTATGTATGTATGTATGTATGTGTTCATTTCTGAGACAGGGTCTCTCACTAAACCTGAAGCTTACTGTTTTGGCTAGACTGACTAGCCTCTGAGACCCATCCACTCTGAGATCCACATGTCTCCACCCCCAGTGCTGAGGTTACAGACCTGTTCAGTTTGGGGCTATGGATCCAAACTCGGGACCTCATACTTGCAAAACAAGCACTTTACCCATGAATCATCTTCCTAGCCTAGCCCATGTCCTTTCTTTGGTGTCAGACTGAGTTTCCCCCAAACTATGTGTTTGATGGTTGAATGACTTGGGGTCTTGTATTTAACTTCTCTAAGCTCAGGCACTCTTATCTGTGAATGGGGACATGTGGCATTCCCTCACAGAGTGCACTGTGGTGCTGAGCTCTTCTGGAGAGACAGTCTGCCTCCCAGCCTCTCTGGTTCCTTGATACCCTACGTGGAAAGATCTGGAGGAACTCCAGCTCCAGCACAGATATACCAGGGCCCTTGAACCCTGGCTGGGGGCTGCCACAACTTCTACCTGCCTTTCCTCCTCTTTCAGCTGGGCTTTTCCCTCATGGCAAAAGTGTTGGGGACAAGATCTTCAAGACAGTGGACTCTGAAAAGCCTTTTGAGGGTGCCCAGGAAGTGTGCAAGCAGGCTGGAGGGCAGCTGGCCACCCCACGCTCTGCTGCTGAGAACATCGCCTTGCAGCAGCTGGTAACGATCCACAACAAAGCTGCCTTCCTGAGCATGACAGACGTGAACACGGAGGGCAAGTTCACCTACCCCACAGGGGAGCCCCTGGCCTATTCCAACTGGGCTCCGGGGGAGCCCAATAACAACGGTGGGGCAGAGAACTGTGTGGAGATCTTCACCAATGGGCAATGGAATGACAAGGCTTGTGGAGAACAACGCCTTGTGATCTGTGAGTTCTGAGCCACTAGGAGGCAGGAGGCGGGATAGGACTCGGCCAGTAAGGTATAAGACTCAGCACGTGCAGCCAGCATCTTAATAAAAGATGACCGCCTGTTCAGCCTGGTTTCTCTGTATAATGCAGCCAAAACCAGGGCTTCTGTAGTATGTCTCTCTCTGAGTATAATACAAGGCTGCCCTCTTACACTGAAAACTTCATGGGGGAGAAAGAGGGCAGCCTGCTTTCTCACTTGTAGGGGATAGAAGTCTGTCCCTGTCATGAAGTCCAAGTCTTCTTTTCAGCCTCTCTGCTTCTCGAATTATCAGCCGTATTATCCTCCTCTTCAAACTCTTTCTCCTATTGGCTTTTAAGATACCACTCTTGCCTGCACTTTCTCTTAGCCCTCTGGCTGCTCCTTGTCAGGCTCTTTCTTGAATCCCTGTTGTTCTGTTGCTGAACACTTAACGGATGTACAGGCCCTAGCTCTGTTTTTGCTCACCCCAGGGTGGCCTCATCCTGACTCCTGGCTCCATACTCTATTTACAGGCCATAGCTCCCATTTGTTTATTTATGTTCAGAACTTCTTGAGCCCCATACTTCTCTAGCCACTGTAGGCTGGGGATCTCTGGCTGCCTCTATCTTCAAGACCCAAACCTTGGACGCTGCAAGCCCAGCAGGGTGGATCTGGCTGGGAATGTCTCCCCTCCCCACCAGGCTGCACAGCTGTACCCAGCACAACTCCTCATTCAGGCAGGACCCAACACCACTCGGCAACCCTGTTCTAGGGGCTGTGTCTTGGCCAAAGGGAGGAAGACTTGCCCCACAATTCTAAACTCATCAGGAATCTCAGGGCAGTAGGATCAGAAGTCTGACCATGTTTAAACTCACCCCACTTCTGTTGCTTGGCAGTTCTGGGATTCTGAGGCATTCTGTCCCCTCTGCCTCAAAGGTAACCTAGTTAGTCCTCCTCTGCTTCTAAAGGTGGAAAGCGTGGTACAGAGAAAGGAGAGGGCTCGTGCAAGGACAGTAATAGGGTTGTGCTGGGTCATGAACAATGACCTTCTGATCCCCCAAAGTTAAAGATTCTGTGTATTTGGTTGATTTTGGCACACTATTCCAAAATTTATTTTAAAGACACCTATATTCAAGAAATGGAAAGAACACCTGGGTAAACTACAGGCCCATAAAAAGGACACAAATACCTCCTCTTCAGGCAGGAAAGCACTCTCCTTCTGTCCCAGGGCCAGGGGGAACTTCCCTTTCTCAATAGTCCTCTGGCACCACACCCCCTCTTCCCAGCATGTCTTATGGGGCAAAAGTCCCATACTCTCAGACAGTGTGCGACCCAGACTCTCAGCTGAGATCTTTCTCTTGTTACTGAAAGAAAAAAATGTCCCCAAGTTCCTGGCTCCTTCTGAAATACAAGTTGGTTGCACAATAACAGGCAAAGAATTCTTCAGAACAGAGGCCATACACCTGGGCACACCCGCAGAGGGAACTTAGAAAGGTTCTTTTTATAGCAAGAAAGAGGAAGCAACTAATTTAGTTTAAGTCCAAGGAAAACCTATTTCTCTACAGGCGGCTCCAGTGTGCTCGAGAAGCACTAGGGGAGGGCAGGGAGCATCAGGCCACCTCCCTGGCTCTCCGACAGTCTTCCTGGCTCCTATGGCTCTCCACCTATCCCTGCCTCTTTGGCGCACTGCCTACTTTCTCCTGACTCTTGAGTGTCAACTGTCTAAAGGTAGGAAGCGTGCCTAGGGAAAGATGCTCAGAGGTAAGAAGCCATGCACCTGCTACCAACTTGAAACTCCTGCAGAAATGAGTCTGCTTGTCTCAGATGCTCATCATGGTCCAATTAGTTAAGTCTTAGAGGATGGGACTGCAGGGATCACAGCATGGCTACTGAAACCCATTTGGGGTCATGGTAGTCTTGATAGATCCTCTCAAAGGAACCACTACCCATCCTAGCACGTACATGCTGCCTGTTTAACTGGAAAGAAAGGACAACAGCTCTCTATGAAGGGAAAAATGTCTCCTGTGGTATTGAAGGTCTGGGATGTTGAGCGCCCCCCACCCCCAACCTCTTTCAGAAGAATCTTCAAATCCACCAGCACCACAGACCACAGGACTTGATTTGCTCCTACCACAGAGAACATATCAGGAGGGTTACTTGGAATCTGTAACACTGCCTGATTAAAGAGAAGATGGAAGCAAATATTTCAGAAGTTCAAGTCCTTACAAAGTTTAGAGTGCAGAGGGTGCCCTGCTCAACACATACCTGAAATCAATGCGGCTCTTAAACTGTTCATACTGCTATAACAGCCAAGGTCCCTTAGCCCTAAGAGCCAAGGTCTCTCAGCCATAAGAGCCAAGGTCCCTCAGCCATAAGAGCCAAGGTCCCTCAGCAGTAACTGCCAAGGTCCCTCAGCAGTAACTGCCAAGGTCCCTCTTTTACTAGCACCAGTTTGAAGCTGAGATTATGTGATTCATAAACTCTCCAGAGACATGAGAACCTACCTACCATAGTGCCAGGTAAGTCATAAAGCCCTCTGGCATTCCTCTGTGTCTGCAAGGGGACCTTCACAGCAGTACGTTGGGAAGTCCCTATTCAGTGTAGTAGTATATTTGTTTAAGATTCTCTTATCATTTCCCCTTCTTTGTGTTTATTTTGAAACAAAGTCTCTCTCTGTAGCCCAGGCTGGCCTCAGACTCTTGATTCTCCTGCCCTCAGCTTCCTGAGTACTGGAATTGCGGGTGTACATCATAATAGTATATTCCCAAGGCTCCTCCTGGTTCTCAACCCTCCTGTCACCAAACCAGCCTACATCCCATATTGCACAGCCAGCGTGGAGCCCTCTGACATTTTGCTTTTCTAGAATCCTAATTTTCTTCTGAATCTCCTTTACATACGACATTGACAACTGAATTGCTTAAGTCTGGGGAATTCTCAACCACTCATACCATCCAGAAACCCATCTCATTCAAAGCCTTATGATGTGTTTGAAAACCAAAATACCACCCCCTGTTTCTATTAAGAAAAAATGTTAATTTAGATGTCAAATATTTATCCTGGCACTGGATAAGAAGATGACATGGCTAGGCAGGCACTCTATGATCCCTGACATTGTAGAGAAGTAGTCTGTAGGACTGGCCACAGCAGTGAACAGCAGAGGTGTTCCACAGCAGGTTTAGAATGAATGGATGGATTCTAAGAGCTCTTGAAATCAGAGAGGAGTGCAATCTCTTATGCTATCCCCACGGTACTCAGAGACTAAGACACTTCACTGCTGTGCATCCTCGTTGCCTGTCACTGTTAGGCTTCTGCACAGCTAGTTGCAGGAATCTCATGGCAGAGTTTCTAGTTTGTCCAATATTTCAACGGCAACTCTTCTGAGACAGGCGTGAGCCTTGGGCACATGTTTCTTTTAGGTGGTCAGAATAGGATCTGTGCCTATTTCGGAAATTCCTTCTCTTCTGTGACATGGTGACTGGAAAGATTGGTGGATATGAAGTTGTGTATTCAAACATTCTGAAACCTTAGACAACTGCATGGGAAGCAACAACGTTGAGGATCAGCTGGATGAACTCGGACTATAAGTGAGCTTCGGGGGTCCTTAAGTGGATGCATTTCCAGTATTTCCATAGTTGATCTGCATTTACTTGGGAGTCCGTAAGCTCTGTCACCCTGCTTGGCTGAGCTGCCTTTGTGCCACAGAGGGGCTTGCCTGAGCAAAATGGTTCCTTCCGTATTTATTTATTACAGAGGGTGACTGGAATGAATGAATCAGAAATCCAAGCAAATGAGATCCTTCATTATACCTGAAAGGGCTGAATAGAGTGTTTATAAGATGTTGCCAGGCCCTTTGATCTGAGGTAAGAGTGCAGTGACCTCACTGCCAGCCCTTCTGCCTATTTATTTCCCTTAACACTTCAAGTATGAGTGGCTGGGGTTAGGCCAGGGCTGAAATGCCAGATGGCAACTTCAGGAAAGCAGTTACCCTCTGTGATCAGAGGGATGAGTCAGGGCAGGAAGGAGCAGAAATCAGGTAGTGGGTTTTGAGCAAAACTTGGATGCTCAGCCCCCATCCTAAGAGTGAAAGGCTGACAGAGGGTGAGAGGGATGTGAATTCTTGAAGGATCTAGAAACTGGGTGCTTACCTATAAAATGTTCATGAGGGATAAAAAGTGATTAAGATTTAGGGGACCTCTTAAGATGATTCTAAAGTTCTTAGGAAAGAAAGAAGCCTAGTACAGTCAGGAAAATTGATCAAAATACTGTAATTTGAATGGATTTGGCCCATCTTATGCCATTTATGTTAAAGGTTTATGAAATTAGTAGCCTGACTAAAATAAGACATTAAATGACATAGGAACAGACAGTAATGAAATAGAACAAAAAGTCTCAAAATGGTCCCACGCACAGATACCACAGATACCTGATAAAAACAGGACGCCAAAATGACTTGTCAGGTGTGGGGTTCAGAATACTAACAAATGAGATTGTATGAAAATTGCAAAAACTCAAATAAAAAAATTTAAAAATTTTATGTGTATGAGTATTTTGCCTGCATGTATGTAAATGCACCCATGTTGCACAAAGTCCCTGGAGGCCAAAAGAGGGTGTTGGATCCCCTGGAACTGAAGCTACAGATAGTTGTGAGCTGCCATGTGGGTGCTGGGAATCAAACCTGGGTTCTCTTGAAGGGCAGCCAGTGCCCTTAACCACTGAGCCATCTCTCTAGCCCTAAACTTTAAAAAAATTTAAAAACAAACAAAACAAAAAATGATTGGTCAATTGATAACATTGGAATTTATGGTCAAGCATTTAGAGAGAAAATAAAATCATTTTACTTTGGTTACATATAAAAATCAAAACCAGGGCTGGGGATATAGTTCAGAGGTAAAATAACTGTCTAGCATGTGTGAGTTCCTGGGCTCTACCCCCAGTGTAGAAACAATAAATAAATAACTATCAGAGAAAAATCCAAGTGTTGATTCAAATATCCTTGGAGGGGACACGGCTATCTAAAATGATATTATTAGAATATGGGTCTAGACAAGAAATACATCAAACTCTGC